TTAAAGAAAATGCCATTTTAGTCTTAAAAATTCTTGTTTAATTCATTGTGGTAATTGCCTTTTCTTTTTAATTGTGTGAACTATGCTAGCAATTTCTGAGTAAAACTGGTTTCAAAGTAAATTCTACATCATTTTTTTTCTTTTAGTATCCATGCATTGTTAGTATGCATTTAATGCATAAAACATTTGTGCATTTGGCAGATGCTTTTATTCAAAGTGACTTACATTGCATTCAAAATATGCATTTTATCAGTTCATACTTTTCCTGGGAATCAAACCCAAGATCTTGGGAGATTCTTAGCAGCAGTTGTGGCCGATAAATCTTGAAGATTTGTTCTCCTGAGGTTACAGGGCTGCTGGGGTCTGTGCTTTGAAATTTGTGATGTTTTGTTCTTCCTATCGGATTTAAACCGTGCAGTCTGAAATCACAGCGTTTTGTAGTCTGAAAAGAGAAAGCAGTTTTAATGACTTTCTCAACTCAACATGCATCCTCTTAACATAACTTTACTTGTTCATGCATGAGATCTGTGATTGGCTGATAATGCGAAGATGCATTTCTGATTGGCTGTGTATTTTCTCCCACAGTGCCCCTGGCACCAGAGCTGCAGCTGGAGTCTCTGAACTGCACAACTGTGGTTTTGCGTTGGCATCTCCCAGCGGGCAGCGCCACTGGACTGCAGGGCTACAAACTTTCCTACCATGAAGAGAGTGAACCAGTAGGACCGCCGACCCAGATTCCCCCTCACCACCGCCAGCACACCATTGGAGGCCTGGGTGAGTGCTAGTGACTTTAAAAATTCATATTCAGCAGCTGTGTGCAGACGTGCCAAAATAGAGCCTCTTTTTGAACTCTCTTGGTTTGTTATAGTGGCAGTTTGGGAGTCTTGATTGGTTAGAGAGGGACGTTAGCTTCTCTAAACACTGTACATGCAACTTTCAGTCCAGTGTTTAACACTGAATGGAGCAGAATTGTGCACTTTTCAGAATTCCTGAATTTGAATTTCATTTGAATTGAGGATGCAATATAGTATAAAAGTAGAATTCTAATTAACTGAAATTCAAAGAAATTTGTAAAATTTTAATTCAGGCTTCCTTGAAAGATTTGAAAAAAGTTTAAAAATGTGAATGTTTGGTAACACCTTAATATAGGGACCAGTTCTCACTATTAACTTGTTGTATATTAGCATGCCTATTATTAATATATTGGCTGTTTATTAGTACTCATAAAGCACATATTCTGCATGAACATATTCTACATCCCTAATCCTACCCAAAACCTAAACCAACTAACTTACTATTAATAAGCATCAAATTAGGAGTTTATTGAGGCAAATGAATGAGGGTGGAAAAACACTTAATTTCCCAGAATGCATCACCTGTGTTGAATTGATTTAAATTGCAATTCAGTAATTTCCTTTTCTTGTCAATTTAATTCAACTTCCGTGTGTGTCGGTGTTAAATCAGTTCAAATTTCCCGCTCATGAATTCAAAGAGAGCCGGTTCTTCAGTTCTGAATTTTGCACAACACTGGCATCTTGATATCAGTTTAACTTGTTGTAGTTTGTCACACTTTTGTCTTAAAAGTGCGAGATTCATGCTGAAAACAGCAAGATGTGATGCCACACTCTGCCTGATGCATGTTCTCATGTTGTTTATTGATTATTCTTTCTTAATTCTGTTCATTGCTTCATCCTGAGTCTCTAAATGAACAGGCCAGTGGTTTGCCAAGAACAAAAGCATTCAAGTGTTGTTCAGATATGTAGATTTGTGGCTCTCCTCCCTAAACTCCCAGTGACCCTCCCCCTGTGACCTCTGACCCTGCCAGCCCGCTGCCTCAGTGCTGGGCAGTGCTGGTCTTCTAATGAGTCTCTGGAGGAGGGCGTTGCAGGTTTGTGGTGTGCTCGCCTTTCGTGCCCCTAAAGGTCACTCTCATCTGGGCCTGTTGTTCAGTGGTGGTCATGAATGCTGTCCCACAATGCTTTGCTTGACCAGTGGCCATCTGTGGCCATAGAGAGGTCAGCCAGCTGGTCGGCAGCTGATAGAATGCACTGGACACAATATTTGCACAAGTATTACATGAGATCATTGTCATCTGCTGATTGGAATTTAGTTAAATTAAGGTGACCAAATATCTCGATTGCTTCACCTAGACAGCACTGAGGTTAGATGGGAACAAATAGAGACTTTTGCTGAAGAATTTCAGAAAACACAAACAGTAATCTCACACGTGTCTCCTTTAGTGTTTTAATAAAGATCTCAGATTTGCTAAGACACCAGTGTGCAATCAAAAGTCAGCGATTGCATTATGAACTCATTTCTCATCAGATGATCTGAGCTGCTTCACATTTTATAGCTCTGTACTCTTACTGGATGACAACTATTGACTCATTTGGGTCTGTTTTTAGGAGAAACATCTGAGACAAAGTTGACAATTAAATGAAACATAGCAGAACTTCATTAAATCAAAAATAGACAGCAAAAAAAATCTTACTATGTATGTCTGTTTTCCATTACAAACACCTAACCATTCTTAAATCAAGATGTGCTTACTTGAAATGCAAAATGATGTAAGATTTTAAGTTTGTTTTCTAAAAATATGAGCAAAGTTAACTGAGTTTATGCTTAAAACAAGAAAAAATGGGGGCATTGAAAGATATTTTATCTTGTTTTAAGCACAAACTCACTTCATTTTGATGCTTTTTTTTAGAAAACAAGACTTAATATCTTGTGTCATTTTGAATCTCAAGTAAAATAATTTTGATTTTAGAATGTTTAGGTAATTGTACTGTAAAACAAGACAAAAATACTGACAGAAAAAAACAAAAAACTTTTTTTTGTAGTGTAGATTAAGATATAATAGTGAATTTTCCTTGCTATGGTACTAGAATTAAGCCAGACAGACTGTTGTTTGTTTTTACAAACAGAAATGAGTTGAAATGTGCAGTTACTGTGGATGTACTTTAGTTTGTATTGGTGCTGTATTCAGAGAGATGTGAAAGAGCTAAACTCTATTCATTAGAGTTGTGGACGCCTCTCAGGAGAGTTACACTTTATCAGTCCAGGGGAGGTGAAAAGAGGAGCAGAGAGAAAGAGGAGCTGTTGTTGGGAGCTTTACGGTGTGTTTTATGACCTTAGGGGGACAGAATGTGGGACGAGGTTCACATCAAAGCCCCTCATACAAAGCCCCCAAACACACACACACACACACACACACACACTATCTCTCTTACAATGACGACCATTAAAGCAAGTAAAGCTGGTAACTTTCACATGACTCATGATTCTGTTTTTGAACCCTATGTCCTTCCACTGTAAACTGTGAAGCTAAATTAGTTTCTGTGGTAATGGATGTCATGTTACAGATGCCATTGAGTGTGTTGTACATGATGTTTCTTTCTTGTTTTTCCCTCCGGCGTGCGTCATTCGTGATATTTAGTGTGAGGGTCTGAGGGTTACGGCCTCTAATGCTCACTCTTTAATTAAAGCAGGCTCATTCATTAGCTCGGCTGGGCATTTTCTGCATTGATTTTCCTCAGCTGATGAGTTATTTGAGTGTGTGAAGCTTTCCAATTGGTGGAGATTTGTTAGTAGTGGTGTTTACTAAGTCAACACCCTAGCAACTGCATAGCAACTCGATTAAAAGCACTAAGAACACCTTAGCAACCCCATAGTGACGCCCCAGAATATATATATATATAGCACATTATTTTATACATAATGGTAATTCAAAGTGCTCTACATAAAAAAAAAAGATTTAAAATGTATTAAAAAAGAAGAAGAAAAAGAAGAGAAAAATACCTAAAATGATGCAGTGCAATCAGTACTTGAACATCATGGTGAGTTTTGCATGTTTCTTCAGAAATGGTAAAAATCTAGTTTATTTTTGTAAATATTTTTTTTATATTTCTAATATTTTTTCATTATAGTGAGGTAAGATATTGTGCATATTTCTAGGGGTTTGCAGATTGCTGTCACTCATGTTCCATTTTGCTAGAAATTATACATATTTGCAAATATCTTCCATGAGAAATATTTGCATATATTTTTGCCCATATATTTTTTGCACATTTCTAAGCTTTTGCTGATTTTTGGGGGGCCTTATGTCCCCTTTTGCCAGTAATGATAAAATTTTTTTTATTTTTTTGTAGATTTTGTATGTTAGATATTTGTATATATTTCCAATATATATGTCATTAGAGTGAGGTAAGATATCTTCCATACTTCTAAGCTTTTGCTGATTTCTCAGGACCCTTATGCACGCTTTTGCCAGAAATGCTAAAAGTCTGGTTTATTGTTGTGGATATACAGTATATATATATATATATATATATATAATTATCTTTTTTTTTTATCGAGGTAGGATCCAAATATTTCTAAGCTTTTGCCAGTTACTAAAAATGTAGTTTATATTTGTAGTTTTTTGTAGATATTGTAGATATTCTATAGATATTTGTATATATTTCATGATGTCTTCATACTTTATGGACTCTGAAGACACTCAGAAACAATACACTTCAGAACTATAGCTGTTCTTTAACAGTTCTTGCTGTTGTTTATCACTAATACTATTGCTCATAGTTAGTGTTTTAGTGATGTGATCAAACCTCAAACACAGTGCTTCCCGCTGTGTCCCCCTGGTGGGAAACAGAGGTATTGCAGGGGGTGTGGCCTAAGCAAAATCATATCATATTAAAGGGGTCATATGATGCGATTTCAATTTTTCCTTTCTCTTTGAAGTGTTACAAGCTCTTGGTGCATAAAGAAGATCTGTAAAGTTGCAAAGACTAAAGTCTCAAATCCAAAGAGATATTCGTGAGGGGCGTAACATTTCTGTCTCACGCTTGAGGTATTCGGCCATTCACAACGCATTGGATAGCTGGCCAATCAGAGCACACCTCGCTTTTCAGACCGATTAGTTTTGTAAAAATCGACGCGTTTCAAAAAGGCGGGGCATAGAGGAGAAACAATAATGTACAGTATGTGGAAAATAATGTGTTTTTTGAACTTTAAACCGCATAAACACATTTCATTACACCAAATACACCAAATAATGTTCTTTTTAGCAGCATCATATGACCCCTTTAATATATTCTGTTTTACATTCTATAATATCAGTTTGAAATATATCAAAATTTCCGTTTCATTATAGTGAGGTAAGACACCTTGCATATTTCTAAGCTTTTGCTGGTTTTCTAGTATGTTTTGTCCTGCATGTCCCGACCCTCTCGACAGGATTTGACTTGCCCAGATTCCATGTCAGAGGTCAGAGGTCAGATGTCCCCCTCTCTCAGTGTGTGGTTCATATCTCCAGGCTATTGTACCGGAGGAAGGCTGTTGTTCAGGCTGGTTTTGGGGTTTAGGGTTCGAGGTGTTTCTGTTGAGTACGTGCTCTTTTGCATTGGCTGTGTCTCAAACTGAATGTCAGTGACTTAACCGGTAGCGTTTTGATAACTCCTGGTTTCAGACAGACTTCCAAGGCACCATAACATAACATGTAATGATATAGGATGAATTCAAAAGAACTTTAAATATTGGCATGCAAATATTTAATGACTGCAGTGCATATTATATATTTTATATATTATATATATTATTTAAAATTTCTTATTTTTTTCCCTAGCTATTGTTTGTGGACTCACGCATGTCTTACTCTCCATGTGATTTAAAGTGAGTTTTGTGTGTCATTCCCCGTCCAAATACTTTCTTTATCACTCTCTGAATGCTGATGGCCTGGAGAAAGAGGCCTGACTTGTGTGCCTGACCTCTGACTCCAGATTCCTAAGGAGTTTTATCTGTGTGTGAACCTTGACCCCTGACCGGCTCCACGGAGCCTCTTCAGAGCTGTGGATCTCAATGCCACACACTATTTACCGAACCGTCCAATCAGGACAGGACTGCTGGGTTTGGCCCCGCCCCCTCAACCCCTGCTCTATAGATCCAGATCTCAGTGGCTGTGATGTCATCTGACTGATAGTGGTCTGATTCACCAGGCTTTAAAGAACACGATCTGCCAATATCAGTGCTAATCTAATGCTTCATCTGTCTGAGATCCATATCTAGGCCTTTAGCCCTCGAGCTGATCATAGTTTATCAGCGCGCTCATTGTTTTCTCTCTAACAGTAATTAGGCAGTCAACTTCACTTGTTTGATTATTACGCATTCAATTTGCTTGACCTCAGATTAACTCATGGCAGTGTTGTTCTATTGAAAAACATTTTCGGTACTTAAAAAATAAAACGGCAAAAATAAAATAAAAATATAAATATTAGATGAAAATAAAAAATAAATACTAGATGAAAAACTTTCTGAACATTTCTAATTAAAATTAGAAATGTTGTCTTGGCAACTAACTGAAATGAAACGTTGAAGTAAAACTGAAGTAAAAAAAATAGAAATGTATAAAAAAAACTATAAAAGCTATTATACTAAAGAAAAGTTATTATACTGAAGTAAACTAAAAACATGTTTGTTACTTGAAATAAAATGTATGTTAGCTGAAATATTATTAAATTATAATTAAATATAAACAAACTATTTCCTTTCCACTAGTCGCCAAGGAAACATTTCTCATTTTTGTTTAGTTAAACTTGAAGTACTAAAATATCTAAAACTAAATGAACTAAAACAAATAAATAAAATTAATAAAACTATATAGGCATATTGAAAAATAAACTAATAAAAATGATACATAACACAAAACTTTACTAAAACTAAAAATTAAAGTGGAAACTGAAAATAAAAATAAAATCTAATCCAAATTAAATGATTGATAATTGATTTTTCACACCACAGGACTGTTAATATTAATAGCCCAAAAGTAAAAAAACAAAAAAAAATTCTGAAAACAACAGATTCACAAATATACACTTTAGATATGTATTTATGTACTATATTAGTGTTAATGTACATTTTAACTCTTGTGTCTTGATCTGAAGCTCAGAACACATTCAGTGATGTCAGTATTGAATCTCTGTGTTGTGTAGCGCCACCATGTGGCCAAAGTCAATACTACAGGACAGCATGGAAACTGCAGCAACTCACATTTTCACACATTTTCACACAAATTTTTTTTTAGATTTTAAAATGTGCATTTTAGCATGTTTATCAGGATGTTTAAGATTATGTGTTGTGTTAGTGGTTTACCTGACAGAGGTCATGGAAAAGCTGGAAATATTGGGGAGTTAAAAAAAATAATAATTTCCAGCCCTGAAAAAGTAAAAAAAATAAATAAATCGCATTATGCTGTACAGTATATTAAATACTATTTCCTTGACTAAAATGTCTATTTGTGAGTGGAATATCTATACAATAATTTTTGTATTTTAGTTAATGCAAAACCATTACTTGGACAGCAACTTTTAGAGTGCAATTTTAAATAACGCTTTCCTGTGAATTTGATTTGAATATGTGATGAGCCCAGATGATCAGTTTCTGATCAGTTATCAATTTTTCTGTCAGTCCGAGGTCTCTTTATGATCGTTGAGGTCGTGGTTTTGGTCACGTGACTGACCTCTCTGTGTGTGTTTCCCATGGCCTTTGGGTCTCTGATTTAACCTCTGTGGTCCGCTGGTCAGTGGTCAGTCAGTGAGGGGCTGAAGCAGATGGATGACGGCTGGATGAACTGAACGGGGGATGGACACTCGTCTTTTGTGTTGAGCAGCAGGAGGATCGACCGCAAACTCACTGACCAGCACCTCCAGCTCAGGGCATCTGCTAATGATTAGACACACGTGCTACACACACACACACATGCATCAGCTGTTACACACACACACACATGTTCTCTTATGCCCCATTCACACATAATCTGACTAAAGCTTTTGAAGATCTGATCACAGATTACATACATTGCAGGGAGAAATAAGATGCCTTACTAATTTGACAACCATACATCAATATTTATTCAGCTTTCAGATGATGTATAAATCTCAATTTCCAAAAATTGACCCTTATGACTGGTTTTGTGGTCCAGGGTCACAAATATGTACTTTTGCTACTAAAGATGTGTATCAGTAGCAGCACACATCATGCATCATTTCATGAACCAGCTGAACGATTAACAATGCATCAGTGCATGGATCAATTTCTGACACGGCTTCTCATGCATTGTAAAAAAAAAGCTAATTTCTGTTGATTTTTTGCTGTATGTGTGAACACCCAATTAACCCATTCTAAATGTAGCAGAAACAGATTTTAAACTTGATTTTTTCCCTTCTTCTTGTATTTCTTTATTATAGATCCAAGAAAGAAGTACCATGTCAAGCTCTTGGCCTATAGTCTCATGGGTGAAGGATACCAGGCAGACCAGACCATCAGCACACCGGGATGTGTTTGTGAGTTCAGCTGCGACACACAAACACACACTTCTATAGTATATTATTGGCTTAAGTTACAAACGTTGTTCAAAAAAATTATATAGGTTCAAGTTTCAAATAACTTTATTGGCATGGTAGTAAGGTTTTACATACAATGCATTGTAAAATGCATGCACATTTAAACACAAATAAATGCAAGATATAAAGATACAAAAAATAAAAGAGCTAATACAAATAATATGTATATTTTATATTTTTACTGCATGAAAAAATATATACAAATAATTATATAAATGGATGCATTACATTGAGAAAAAAAAATATACAAAAAGTTTTTTGTAATGTTACAAAAGGTTTCTATTATAAATGCTGTTTTTAAAACTTTCTATTCATCAAAGAATCCTGAAAAATAAAATGTGTCACGGTTTCCACAAAAATATGAAGCAGAACAACTGTTTGTGACATTGATAAAAATCAGAAATGTTTCTTGAGCAGCAAATTAGCATATTAGAATGATTTCTGAAGATCATGTGACACTGAAGACTGGAGTAATGATGCTGAAAATACAGCTTTGATCACAGGAATAAATTACAGTTTAACATATATTCACATAGAAAACAGTTATTTGAACTTGTAAAAGTTTTTCTCAATATTACTGTTTTTACTGTATTTTTTTTAAATCCAGTAAATGCAGACTTGGTGAGCATATAGGGTTAGGATTCAGAATAATTTTTTTTTAAAGTTTGTAGGCTAAAAAATCTTGAAGTGAATATGTAATTAAAACACATTTTTATGTGTGATTGTTTGCAGCGGTCCGTGATCGTCTGGTCCCGCCCCCTCCGCCGCCTCATCACGTTTACTCCCGCAGTAACTCCTCCTCCTCGGTGTTCCTGCATTGGGCCCGACCCGCTTTCACCGGCGGACAGACGGTCAACTACACGGTGCGCTGTAACCCGGTGGGACTGCAGAACGCCTCGCTGGTGCTGTACCTGCAGACGTGAGTGTATCTGACCCCAGACTGACACACACACACACACACACACACAGATTGTGATGTTCGTCCTCTAATATGTGTGTGTGTTCCTGCAGTGCGGCCCAGAGTCTGATGGTCACTGATTTGGACCCAAACACCAATTATGAGTTTGCAGTTCGTCTTCATGTGGATCAGCTGTCCAGCCCCTGGAGTCCTGTGGTTTATCAGACCACACTACCTGAAGGTCAATATATTTACTTTATATAATACTTTATATATATTTTATTTTATATACTTTATATATTTATATATATGCAGAGTATATGCAGTTTATTTGCAAAAACAGATAACTCAGTTTTTTTTTACATCTTAAGTTTTTTATTATGTTATCATGTTTTTATTGTGTTTTATTGTGTTAGTTAGCTGTATTTTTTTAGTTATTTTTACTTAATCAAAATAACCCAACTGCAGTTTGATTGAGATTAATTGGAATGCACAATGAAAAAACATGATTTTTGAAAATTGTTAAAAACAGTTATCTGTTTTTGCACATGAACTCTATATATATATATAATTTTTATACATATATATATGTGTGTGTGTGTGTATTAGTGCTGTCCAACGATTAATTGTGATTAATTGCATATTTTAAAAAAAATCCAAAATAAACGTTTTTGTTTACATAATATGTATATACTTTGTATATTTATATTCATATAAATTATATTATATATATATAAATATACTTAATATATAAACATAACATTTCTCTGAAATATATACATGCATGTGTATGTTTTTATATATACATAATAAATATACACAGTACACACACATATATTATGTAAACAAAAACTTTATTTTGGATGCGATTAATCGTTTGACAGCACTCGTAAATATACATATACACACATACATATATTATAAAATAAGAATGACAGTATCTGACAATGTAACAAAATACAATATTGTGATGTGATCACTCAAAACACACAAGACACAGCCACGTCACATTTGTGTTGTGTTTGAAATAGTTTATCCAGAATGACTTAAAATGATTAAAAATAAGTTATAAGAGCAAGCTAGAGTATTAAAGAAGCATTTTGAATGCAGAAAAGAGAACAGAAGAGGCTTCTGTCTGCATTGTGAAGGCATTGAGTGGTTTTGATTGACAGGTGTCTGTTTGTCTGTCTGTTCTCCGATCAGCTCCCACTCGAGCTCCTGCAGGAGTGAAAGTCACTCTGATTGAGGGAGAGACGGCGCTGGTGTCATGGAAACCGCCTGACGAGCTCAACATCGCCGTGACTCGTTACACCATCCTGTACGCATCACGCAGAGCCTGGGCCGCCGGAGAGTGGCAGATCCTGCAGAGAGAAGGTGAGTTTGTGTGTGAGTGAGTGAGTGAGTGAGTGTGTGAGTGTGTGTGTGAGTGTGTGAGTGTGTGAGTGA